AATAATTGCCGGGAAAAAAAGAATATTTGAAAACTGAAAATAGTATGGGGGAAATGGAAAATATTATGCACAATTTTTTTTTCATGGTTAGGCACTCGTTGAAAATGAAATTTTAAAGAGTTAAATTCATGAACTATCTACGTAGATAGACATAGAGGAAAAAGATATAGGAAGAAAAAGAGAAAGAAACTGGGAGATTTAGAGACCGAAAAAGTAAAATAGATTCATAGGTAAATAGAGATAGATATGTAGTTAGATCGAGGGGGAGGGGAGGGCGAGAGAGAGAGAGAGTGAGAGAGAGAGAGAGAGATTGAGAGCGATGGGACATACATACAGACAGATGGTTTTTGTATAAAAAAGTAAATAGAAAAATAGAAAGAGAGAGAGAGCATGAGATAATGAATGAGACAAAATTAAACATAGGTAAGTAAAAGATTCTGCACTCATCAAAAATGAAATTTAAATCGTTCAACTCATGAACTATCTACATAGATAGAGATAGAGGAAAAAGGTATAGAGAGAGAAAGAGAAAGAAATTGAGAGATTTGGGAGAGAGAGAAAAAGTTAAATAGATAGATAGGTAAATAGAGATAGATAGATAGATTGATAGAGAGAGAGAGAGAGAGAGAGAGAGAGAGAGAGAGAGTGAGANGTGTGTGTGTGTGTGTGTGTGTGTGTGTGTGTGTGTGTGTGTGTGTGTGTGATTTTATGAATTAATCTTGAAATAAAACATTCCGATTGATTTGAAAGTTAGGAAAATTAAAACATCCTGCATTTCTATTATAAATATTTGGAAATTATTGTAAAATTACTTAAGCTACTCAGCGGGACTCTTTGTTACATAACAGAACGCCAAAAAATAATTTTATCAATATCTTTGTCTAAGAACGTTTTTGTGAGAAATGTGTTCTATATAACCTTATTTTTTATTATGCAAAATCCATTTTATTACGTTTTCCATAAACCCTACTATCCGATACGGTTGAAATTTAATAGTCGGCCCGCACCGTCATGTTGAGGACGATGAATAGTTCTTTACACACACGGATAAACAATAGCCCAGGATACTTTATTCCGTCTTTTTCTAGCGTGTATAAAAACAAGGGGACTACCCATCCCACTAGATACACAGGGTACACGATCAGCATGTTTTCACGAACCCAGGCCATCAGGCCTTACTTATTCTGTACCATTTGCAAAAGATGTTCTGTCTACAAAACCAAATTAGCTTTTGCTGTCGATAAGTTAAAATAATTTTTACATGTTACTTATTGATACATTTGAAGATTCATGTGGTTAAAATGGATTAAAATTCATTCGGAAGATCCAAAAAAATAATATTATACTTTCAATATTTTCCAGTAAAACTGTGTAATAATTAATAAACGAAAAATTGTACAATTCTATTTTATTTGTAAGATGTCAAATCTTTTTTTTTTAAATCCGATTCTGAACTAATATTTCAATAAGGTTTCCATCCTGTTGAATGGTACAGATTTTGCCACATTTAATAAAAAATAGTCAATAAATTAAAAATAAAAAAATAATTTTTACTTATTTAACTTTTGATGCAAAATACCAAGCTACCAAAGAAAAGTAGACGAAAAATCGGGAGAAAACTACAAGTTAACTACACCGTTTTTTTCAAGAAAATGTTTGTGCCTTTCCCTGCTTAAAACCCTGATGACTCAGGAAAGTTGGCGTAAAATCAACAAACATCTAACTGATCAACCAGTGAAGAAAGGCAGACGGAAAATAGCAATCTATAGGTTCATTAGACTCTTTCTTCCAATAAAAAAAAATATATATATATACGTACATCGGGGCGTTGATGTTCAGCGTCACTCGTCTTATAACCTCCCATACTAAAACTCTCCAACGTTTTGGAGAATAGAATCTCACAAAAAGTTTGGTCCAAATCCGTGTCACACCAACCTGGTCGTCCCCTTGTTTTATTAGCATGCTAATACGGCTTGGAAAAGACATTCTGACGGAGTTCAACCAAAGATTTTATAAAATAAAAACCAAAACAAAACCAACAACCAAAGTTACAAAAATCATCACTTGTTGATATAAGAAAAACAATAAAAATACCATATATACAATTACGAACTAAGATATTACCAAGTGACAGCGGTTTTTTTTTATAATCAGTTTTTCCCCGCAAACGCAGTAACAGGCTAAACAAGACAAAATGGATACATTGATAAGGATGTAGAAGGTTATAAAGCCCAGTCAGTGTCTTTCGCACTTCTACCACAAATGAAAAAAGTGTCAGGTTGCAATCCCTATATATGTAAATATTTAGTCAAATATACTAGTTTTTTTTCTTCTTAAAGAAGATATTACCTACTTATATAATAGAAAACAAAGAAAATATATAAAAATAAAAAAAATAAACTTATACACCTCTTCCTTTTAAGCGAGAAAATCGTACAAGTTGAAATATTGCACTAATTCATATCTGTAAATCATGCTTCACCTGCGTGCTGAACGAGTGTCTGACTTTGATCATTTCTCGCGTTTAGTAGGCAAAGCGCTCCAGATAATACAGACGAAATCGGCCAGTACAGTGCACTCAGCAAGAAAATGAAAAAGTCCTTTTTTCTTATAGTTACATAAAGAACATTTGCTGTCTTCCTTCCCCCCTCCGTAGAACACAATTAAGTACACTTGCCTACACCTTAGTTTTAGCAACCAGCGAAGGACAGAAAGTCTAAAAGAGTGGGTATCTCTACCTGTGGATCAACTTAGATCTATCTTTAAATTCACTAATTTCGTGGTCCGCTTGACCACTTAAGACATTACAATTAATTAAGGTTTTTAGTTGAGATGAAAAAACGTTAATGGCACGAGCGGGATTCGAACCCACGAACGCTGCTCTACCACCTGAGCTATCGTGACCTCGATCCACTCGGACATCAACTCCCCATCTCAACCCCACCTTATGAGTTTTCCCTCCTTTTGCCATTTTTCAAATATCGTGTAATCGGTTTGGATTCTCGACGACAATTGAAATGGCCTCGGAGAGCTTTAGTGAAGTGTTCTTCATTATTTTAATTCATTAAAACCATCAGACCGCATCTCACGTTTTCTAAATAAATATTAATTCATTAAGTTCACTAATTTCGTGGTCCGCTTTAGATCTTTCTAATATCATAACGAACCATTCTGGTCGGTTGTTAACATATACCCGAGTTATGGAAAAATTACAATTTAGCTCGCTCGCTAATTTATTTATTTGATCTACCCAAACCAATTACTTTGAATAATTTACAGTAATTTTTGACAGACGAGGGTTTGGAAGGTCAAGAACTTTAAGTATGAATGAATAATGAAGGTTCAAAGAAAAAGAAATATTAATTCTACTGATGTCTCAACATACAGCGTGTAATTTGGGTTGATTCTGGAAGGGCCGAACATTTTTTTCTGTTTCTTCATATCGTTGAAATCCCCATGTGAAAGAAAGATTGATCATCAAACAGCATAAAAGAGGAGAAAATTAGCTTGGTATGAGGTTGAATTATTTCCAACAAAATTCTTCAAGATTCGGAAGAGACAAATTTTAGGTAGAAACTTTAACTTTAGGTGCTTAGAGAACGAACGTTTTGGCGTTTACAGATCTCCTGAACATTTATACTGGTTCACAATCTATTCTCTCCACATTGAAATGTATGTGTATGAAGTAGTCAACTCCTTCGAAAAACCATGACCTCGGATTTCGTTAGTCGCACTATTAAACAAATAAATAAAGTTTACTAACGTACAAAAGTAAGCTTGGGGGCGTCGTTGGCCGCAAGGGTTTAGGCGTTGACACGGCGTTCATCACTGTAAGGTAAAGGTCCCGGGTTCGAATCCAGCAGCCGTGCATTCGAACCCGACATATTTACAAATGGGCTTTTTTTTCAAAAACACCGGCACCTCGTGCCGGAAAAAAGTAAGCTCATTAACCGCTGTTTAAAACACAATATTTTGACATCAGGGGTATTCACGATGTTTGTGAGATGTTAACGCGTGTTAACTCGAATAGAGAAATGTCCAGTAAGAACGTGCACGTCCCATACTTTTCTTAGCTTGTTAATTTTTTCGCAATGATGCGCGTGGCGATTGGTAGGACCAAAAAGTAAAACTATAATAGTCCTTAAGGCTTTTTTTGCTTGTTTTGGTTTTCGTTTGAGATAATTGTAAGATGTCAGAAAAAGAAAATTAAACAACTCTTTCGTTCAAAATGAATGCACTCGAAAAGTACTAACAAATGACACGCTTCAATTCGTGCTGACATACCTAACTTGAATCCTAACGTTAACAGCCTCCAAATTTATAGGATAGAGGATGTATCTATTATGAATGAGAGTATAAGTACAGGTCATAAATTAACAAAAGAAATGTATTGGTCTGATTTAATTATTGCGTATTTAAGAATAAAAATACGTGTAAACAAAACAGCTGTTAAATTCATGGCTGCCATGTTGGTTACCTACGCCCTAACGGATAGCAATGTGACTACATTTTCGATCTAACATCCAACAATGGCCCTGGCCTGTTAGATCGAGCAATGTTAACTAGCCGATTTTTACAAGTCTACACCATCATTTTTCTCGATCTAACAGGACCTAAAGAGTTAACAGGGTTAACACAAAAATCGTGAATACCCTGTTATTTGTGGGTCGGTTAGCTTTATCTAAAAAATAAACATGTAAAAATAAATGAAAATGAAATTCATTGGTTTATCGGGCAACCTTGTTGTTTCGATGGAAAATCAACCTGATGTTCAATTAAAATAAGTTGGAAATCATTGTTCATATGATATTTTTATTTATTAAATCTTTTTATTCTTACATTTTAGACAAAAAGAAAAAATTTTGTTATTTTTTGTTGAATTGTCTGCGCACTCGTCCAAAATGTTTGACGAACTGAAGTTTTACACTGTCAGTATGTTACTCTTAGTAATTAACGTCGTGTGTGCAATGTTTTCCGCCAACTTAACAATAGTCTCAGCCATGTATTTATATTTTGCCAGAGAAATAGCTGGTATAATCGAACAAACATTTATGATCATCTGTACAGTCGCCATGGTCATGAGCATAATAACGGTTCCGGTTTCCTGCATTGCCTTCAACGGAGTTAGTAAGAAAAGTAAAACTCTTATGCGGATGTACGCAGTTGTGTTCCTAATAACGGCCGTCTTGAAACTGATTGCGGGCCTTTTCACGTTCTATGTGTACCCCGAGGCCCAATGTTATATGAAGCAACGAATCAAACTTTTGTACAATAGAACCTTTCATTACAATGAAATGATAAATTTCATCCAGGTAAAGTTTAAATGCTGCGGCGACTTTTCTCTGGAAACGTGGGGCGCCCTTAAGCTTCCGGTCAGTTGCTGCCCACCTTCTATCACAGGACCTTGCGTTCCCAACAAGGCGTACACCGTCGCCTGTTACGATGCGATAAGAGTGCAAACAAAAAAAAGATTCAAAATCATCGGCTGGCTTTGCGTATGCGCCTTTTGCTTGGAAGTGGTATGCGCCGCCTTGGCCTGTGCAGTCATATGCAACATTAAACCCAGGATGAGACGCGCAATTTCGAGACCACGGTCTTTTCGACCTGCCTGAGAGAATTCTTCTTTATACCGACAATAAAATTGAAACAATTGTTTGCGTTTAATCATTTCTTCTAAAGCCAAGTTTAAAACTATGTACAATTTCTCAATTAACGGCTTGATGTAATCCAACATAAATGAACAACATTATGTTCAAATGATTTAAAAAAATCTCACCTTTTTAAAATTGTTTTTCTTGAAACGAATAGTATGAAGTCGTATTTTCATTCTGACGTCCGCTTGTACAAAACAATCGTTCGTTGGGTTCAGGAAGATATCTTGTGTAGCAAATTTAAACAACATTTATAAAATTATTGAAATTCAAATTTTTTGTAAATTGAAACAATGAAGGTAAAACAAAAATAGCTTTTTATATTTTACTCTACAAATTGTTAAACATATGATAAAATCAAAGAACATTTCACAAGTTTTCACATTAGAGATATATTGAGTTGAAAAATATGATGAATTTCAGTCTTATATTTCAAGAAAAATATTGTATATAAATCTATACATATACATCTAGTACGGAAGCTTCTATCCATTGATTTAGCTTCCAGCGGGACAAGGCAACTGACGGAGCGAGGAAGTAATTTTTGAATACTGAATACGCAGTGTCGCGCCTCGTGGCAGCTTAATATCGTGTAGTCCTTGCTGTATTTTTTAAATAATACAACGTCTTTTTATTTGTATTGCAAGTATTTTCGAATACACCATACTCGTTCCTAATCCTACATAGATATGTATATGTATAATTCACTTCATTTTAGAAGAGTATGTAACTAATTATTCAGATATCGTGAGATGCGGTCTGGTGTGATGTGGGTTTCAGAAAAACATTTTCTTTATCGTGCCAATGTTTCGATCTTTATTGAGATCATCTTCAGGGCCTGGGATTTACAAACATTGTTTACATTTAACAAATACATTTAGGATGTGGAAAAGTGAATTGATAAAATGCAAAATATATTCTATATTCAATCAAAGTATTTTTACTCACTCAAAGTATTTGTCTTCTGTGTAATTGTGCCATTCTTGCGTGTCGTGTTGAGAGTGCAAGTGAGATTTTGCTGTTTCAAGTTTACATATGTTGAATTTTGAAGGGGTGGGGAAGGAAGTCGGTATAGAAATGACAATTTTGTATAGGGCGTCGGATTCTTTGAAGTGAAAAGAGCCGCAAAGGGAAACAATGTGTTGGTAATGGTTCGGCCAGATTATCCTTTCAGGATTATATAGAAAGGGATAAATAGGAAAAGGAAAGCTAAATGTAAACAATGTTTGTAAATCCCAGGCCCTGAAGATGATCTCAATAAAGATCGAAACGTTGGCACGATAAAGAAAATGTTTTTCTTAAATTACAATTAATTAAGGTTTTTAGTTGAGATGAAAAAAAAGTTAATGGCACGAGAGGGATTCGAACCCACGACCTTCGGCTAGATACGCCGCTGCTCTACCACCTGAGCTATCGTGACCTCGATCCACTCGGACATCAACTCCCCATCTCAACCCCACCTTATGAGTGTTCCCTCCTTTTTTTTCTCTTTTTCTGAAACCTACGTCACACCAGACCGCATCTCACGATATCTGAATAATTATCGATTAACGGTCCCTAATCTCTACACATAATATGTAACGAAGAATGATGATGTTCAGAAGAATAACTGAAGAATAGTCGAGTACCTTTTCAGTTGTAGAATTTCGAAAAAATAATAGAAATATTTTGGCATATCATTGGACCTGTTCGTAGTCTTGTGGCACGGCAGCGGGCACAGATTGCTATTCCGGTACCTCAAGGATTTTTAAATGGAAATAGTGTTTATGTGTGTTTCTATTTTATTTTATTTATTTTTTTTACTACGGTTTGCAACAGCAGAGGTCTATAAACACTCAGGGTACCTGAGTTTTTGAAAAAAAGAAGCCCATTTGAAAGTTGTCCGATTCGAATGTAAGGTCGCTGGATTCGAACCCGGGATCTTTACAATATAGTGATGAGCGCCGTTGACAACGCTTAAACACCACGTGGATAATAAAGACTAGAGTCCTATAATTATTTTAATTTTGTTTTCTTCTTTTTCCGGGCTGGTTTTTTATTTTTTTCCTTAAATATTGCTTGCTGAGAGGTAATCTTCTTTTTTGAGATCTTTATACAATTTTTACCCTTCCTCATACGTGGTTTATTAACCCGTTTTTCACCAAAACGTTTTGACAGCTCAACCTTTTACAGACTTTCTAGTATGCTTCAAGGTAAAGATGTGTTTTCCTAGGACCATTCCTTGAAATTCCTAGATTACTTTGGACTTAAAACATTTTAGAGACTTTTATTAAGCGGAACACAACGTACACCTTTCATTTCCTTTTTTACCTATATGCCCGGTGGCTTTACATTTTATTAACTAGTCTAGTGACATATCTTCTGCTCGAAAAAAGAGTATTAAATTACAGATGGCTATGACAAAGTATATGAGGTAGAATATGTCGGGTAAATGTTAGAAAGGCTTCTTCTTTTCTTTTCTTTTTTTTTTTTTGGTTTACGCTGGCATATTACCCATGAAGTTTTCTTCTATTTTCATTTTACTGTCGAGCGTGATCGGCCGATCTGGGCCAGGTCCCCGCCGCGCGCCCGCACCACTCAATCAGCTCCATCATCTTCTCATCTTCTAAATTTTCATGCTTGAAGATAATCAAAAAGAAACGTTTATGGACTTTAGAAATCCATAGATTGTGTTATTTTGAGAAAAACCATGTAATAAATTGGTAATTAAATTTTTTGAGCAAATCCATGTAATAAATTGTTAGTTAAATTTGATTGTTTTAAATCAAGTTTTTCCGGTGTTATAATACATTTTCTGCCTAACCATCGTAATTAAATAATTTTTATAAAAAATCATGAATTTTTGATCTCATTTAATTTGGTTTATATTAAAATAAAAATGTTGTAATTAATATAACGACAAAATAACATATAATTAGTTTGAAATAAACAACAAAAAATATGAGTGTTCCATTCTGACGCTACTCGACGAAAATGGTGCAATTTTATGTACGAAACCATGTAATAAATTGTCAGTTAAATTTTATGAGCAAAACCATCTAATAAATTGTTAATAAAATTTTATGAACAAAACCATGTAATAAATTGTTAGTTAAATTTTATGACCACAACCATGTAATAAATTTTTCAATAAATTTAATTGTATTAAATAAAGTTATTGAGGCGTTTTGATAATTTTTGTACCAGAAAATTATAATTAAATAGTTCTTACAAAAACATCAATTTTTGATCTTGTTTAATTTGGTTTCCATTAAAATAAGCATGTTATAATTAATGTAACAACAAAATTACATATACATAGTTCGAAATAAACAAAAAAAAATATGATGGTCCGGTTCTGACACTAGTCGACGAAAATGGTGCTATTTTATGCACGAAACCATGTAATAAATTGTCAGTTAAATTTTATGAGCAAAACCATCTAATAAATTGTTAATTAAATTCATTCTATCAATAAATGGTATTCCGGTGTTTTAATAAATTTTCTGCCTAACCATCATCAGTAAATAATTTTTATAAAAACTAATGAATTTTTGATCTCGGTTAATTTGGTTTATAATAAAATAAGTATGTTGTAATCAATATAACGACAGTAATACTTGTAGTTTGAATCAAAGTATGAGTGTCCGGATTTTTTATTTTCGACTGTACTCGATGCTACCCGAGGGTAGCGTTGCATAGCATCGGGCAGATGTGCACGAGGGTAATACAATCTTATGGAAAAATGGACTTTGGAGTTGCGTAGGGTAGCATCGGGTAGCGTCGCATAGCGTTGCATCGGGTAATCACGTGACACCGCAATCCCATATTTTTGTAACTGCCCTGAAATAGCTAGAAAATTCGTAAAAAATAGCCATGCTTGAGTAATAAAGAATAGATACAATACTCCTGTATTCGTTTTATTTATTAAAGAAACAAGAATATTCTAGAATAATTATTGTGTTCAATGTTGTTGCTTAAGCGGAATAGGGCGGACTACGACTCCAAGAAAGTACAGAAAGACTTTTATTTTATATTGCCTTATTGCATTTATTATTGTCTTATTTTTGTCGTTTAAGCTTAGAATTTTTTTGTACAAAGTGTATAATGATAATAAATATTGTTTTTTTTTTCAGGTATGTATTTGTATTATCTTATTAATACTTTCTACATTGCTCGGCATGGTAAACTTGAATTAGCCAGGGGAACATACTCAAGAAGGTAGGAGAGCATGCCTAATACAATCTTCTGTTTTGTTGTGTGCGTGTGAGCGACAATTAGTTTAAAATGGCCGTGTACAACGTTGGAAGTAGGAAGTGAGGCTGAAATCCCCGAGGATCTCCGCAAGTGGAATTGTTGCCCTCCAATATCTGCGTGAGGATCAAATCCTCTAAGCCTGCGGCCTTCCTCTCCTCTATTTACTATGGACGGCAACACTAAATTTCGCCCACCGCCTCCCCGGAACGCTTTAATTTCCCCCAAATTGCGACGGGCCCAAACGGCCTCCTTCTCCGCCCCCGTGTTGCTCGATTGTGTTTATAATTTATTTCGGGTGAGTTCAAGACGTCAATTTCCCACTTGCAACTACCATTCCGTTTAATTTGTTCTAGGAGAAATTACAAATTCGGTTTTCTGCCTGTATGCTTACTAAACGCACCGAACCATCTCCTATTAAAACATGTGCGTGGGGGGGGGAGTGAGCGTTACAGTGTGTGTGTGTGTGTGTGTGTGTGTGTGTGTGTGTGTGAGAGAGAGAGAGAGAGAGAGAGAGAGAGTNTCATACTTTCATACTTTTAATTAGAGAGAAAAGAGGGAGGGAGAGAGAGAGAGAGAGAGAGAGAGAGAGAGAGAGAGAGAGAGAGATTTAAAGTAATTGTTTGATAGTATCAAACCTAATTTTTGGAACACCATAATAAGTTAATTGGTAAGAAATAAATTGCAACGAGAGAGAGAGGGTTGAGAGAGAGAGAGAGAGAGGGTTG